CAAAAATATACACCGCCTCTTATACCTCCTAGAGGAGAAGTTAATGCTGCTGATGCATTTGATATTGGTTCATTTGACGAAGAAGACACAAAAGGCATCAAAGTAAATTAAAATTTGAAAAAAATTAAAACTAAATTAAATTTAAATTTTGGATATTGTTAAATAATAGTTAACTGATGCTGATCAAGAACTATATAAGAACTTTTCTATAACCATATCTGAAAGATGGCAAAATGAAGTTGCTGAAACAGTATTTGAAACTGTTAATTCTGAGGCTGATAAAGCTGATCAAAAAAGAAAGTCTAGGCAAAAGAAATTCAATGAACACAATGAAGAAGGTATATTTATAAACAAATATACATCAAATTAAATTAAGTATAACTTTAATTTGATTCCTTTAGAATCCGATTGCATTCTTCACGGATATATAAAAAAGTTAGGTGGACCATTCGCATCTGCATGGCAAACAAGGTATGCTAAACTATACCCTAACCGGTTAGAGTTGCATTCAGATTCAGGATCWGTAAAAACTGAAGTTATCACATTAGACCAAGTATTAGAAGTCAGTCCTGAGTTAGTAATTGTTAAAAATGAGCAATGCATTGTATTACGCATGAAAGATGGAAAAGATGGCAAACTAGTTCTTACCAATAGTGTAAGTCTTGGTTAATTTTTTTATAAACAACAAACATTTTATAATTATATCAAGTGTAACTTGAATTCATTGTGTTATCATAATTTATTCATTAATTATTATAGGATGAAATTGGCTTAAAAGAGTGGGCATTATCATTACGCTCTACACATAAATCCACCCATGATCTGTTAAAAAAATTGAAAAAACCAGGAAAAATGTTTATTCAAGAAGAAGCTGATCCACTAACATCCACTACAAACACCAATGGAAATTAGTTACATATTAAGGTATTAGGTTAAACAAATCTCTGATGAATCTCAATGCTTCTCTTTGAATTAATTTTAATGTTCTGCTTAATCCATAACCTTCCTCAGTTCCCAGCTTTTGTCGACTAATTACCCGGGTTTTATTTGCTAAGGTTAGTGTATTGCTACTATATAAGACTGTGGTGTTTCATTATTTCTTGTTATTTTATTGAGAATAGATAGTTTAGATCAATGTAATAAAATACTATTTTTTATACATTTTATAATTTTTTAGTACAATTTWTTAATTTATAAATGTTTGAGCATAATGAGACCATACTTTAAAAAAGAAATTCATGACATTAAAATATTTCTGATAATTGGTGCCATAAAATCTATATTATCAATCTACAATCATGTATTGTATTTTCTATTGTACATACATATTTTTTAATTTTCTTTTATTCGTACCAGTAAATCATTTTAGTCAAGCATTGTAAAATCCATTACAAGTTGTTTATGACTGTATAATATTTTTATGCGTCAATTTAAAATTACATTTTCGAAATTTAAAACTTTAACAAATCAAAAAATGTATGCAATATCCAAGGTATGTGTAAGATGATATAATATTTTACAGTAATTGTTGTTTGTGAAATAAATTATATTTCTTGTTACTTTCTCAAAATACTCTAAAAAATTCTAAAATGTTTTAAAATTTAGTGTTTTAGAAAAATAACATAAACCTCAGATCATTTATTGGTTATAATATTATGTAGATTCCATCATTTTGTATTAATTATTGAATAATTAAGAAGAAATATAGACATTTGATATTAAAAGAGGAAAAGTTAGGTGTTAAATATGATTATCAACATTGGTATATTTTGTAACTTGTTTCTAATGGAAATCATATTATATGTTGTAAATTGACAACCTTGGAGAACTTTTCAGTTGTAAATATCATCCATTTAGTTTTACCTTAACTTAACCAATTCATGCAAAATTTCTTAAAGTAGATAAATGGTAAGCAATTTTTTATGAATAAAATTATTTTTGAATTTACAATTAAATATGTAAGTTCTGTTTACTATGTACTTCATTTTGTTTATCAGTATCTTCATATGCATTTTGACTGAATCAACATCATGTCTAGTCAGTAAATAATGTTTATTAATCCAATTGGGGTTTCTTTATTAACATGTACCATTATAAATTGGAAATACATAATGGTTTTGATATTAAGTATCTGCTTTTTGGCTCTCTATTGAAGTCATCCAATTGTATTTATAACAAGACTGATAATTTCGATGTGTTAAGAACTAAAACATTCATATAATTTTCATGCTTAATTTTTCAGTTCATTTGCACCTCATAAATGATATATAAAATATGAATAGAATAAAATATTTTACTTCAAAGTAAGCCTTATCATTGTTACAAATATGACTTAAATTTACAAATTTCTTATGCCAACTAACTTATAATTTTTTTTATTGTCGACAATCAAAAAATATGTATATCTATTACAATATTGTGGCCAACAAAATTTGTAAATACATTTTAATTTTAAAATTCCTGCATCATATGTTATCAAAACTTGTAAATATTATATTATATATCCTAGTCTAGAAGAGTAGGTAATTAGAAATTACCAATTTAATAATGATAATTAAATATTGAATAAATATAATATTATATAGGCCTAATTAGGTTTAATGTGAAAGAATCAATTGCTTTTAAATAACTATTTTGTCCA